TCGGTGCTGGTTTCAACAAGAAGTTCAGCAGGCACAGTGAACCAGGGTCTGTAGTTCCTCCCGATGGGTGGCTTTGGCATGCTCACAGCTTAGCAGCTAGGCTCACATAAGGGAGTATCCTGAGAGGATTCTCAGGGCTTCTTAGGGAAGTAAAAGGTTACAGTTCAGGTAGGAAACAGGATCCAGTTCTTCAGTCAGGACAGCTCGTCAGGCGTGCTCATAGGCTCTCTGAGCTTCAGCTTATTGGCTTTGGGCCAGTGTTACATGGCTTTTTTCAGTCTTGCAAACCATAGAATCTCCCTAAAGCCCTTGGACAAAGGCCTTAAATTCTAGCTCGAGAGTGGCAGTTCTAATCCAGCTGTGTCTCATTTGGGTCTCTGGTTCTCCACCACCTCAGCTGCTGCTGCTGCTCTTGATTCCAGTGTGACTCATGCTGGAATCTCTGGTCCCAAAGGACATGCTGCATTTTCTACATCTTTTTTGATGACAGCAAAGTTTCCTCCAATAGCTTTTAAAATCACATCATTTATGTGAGCACACATTCTTAGATCAGACAAGATCAGGAGTACCGAGGGTGGGATCACTAGAGGCTGAGCACGTATTTATACTGGGCAGTAATATAGGTAAAGGGAGCTGCGGTGGCCTAGTGGTAAGGAGCTGCATTGCCATCCCTAAAGCACAAAGTTCAAATCCAACAACTGTTGCCGAGAGAAAGATGGGCAATCTCCTCCTGTGTGATTTACTGCCCCTGAAAACCCACAGGAGGGTCAGCTAAGAGTTGGTTCTGATGAGATGGTATACAACACCACAACTCAATGTTGGGTAAAATAAACTTATTATTTAATCATAAATTTTCATGTAATACCTAGCACTCGGCCCTTAAAATTCCTATGATAGAATGGAACAATTCCACATCTGTATTTTAAATAAACTTAATCTTTTGTTTCCATACATTAGTATTTCAGGAAAAAAGCTACTTTTAGTAGCATCCTGGAAATGTCAATCTGTTTTTATGCTGATTATAAAAGGTTCCATTTCACTGTATTTGTATCAGTAGCTTTTACCCCTGATAACAAAAGTAAATTTGAATTGATGGAACTGGAGTATGGTATATGAACAGCTGCATTTGAAGCAAGATGATCAAGTTATTTTAAACTTGGTTTTCTATTAGAAATAAATCAGTCAAATATGTATAAACTAAACTGATGTAAATAAAAATATTCTCATTTATTTAACCTCTAAATTCTTGCAGCTTCGAGACAGAGAAGAGATATTTAAGGATCCATTTTATCAGAAACTTAAGTGTGCAAATCTCCAGGCTCATTATATAGCTAGTTATATTAATGGGATTATGTACAAAGAAATGAATAATTGTTACACTAACAAATTTAAGGATGTGAAAATAAATAAGGTCTTTGGAAAAAAATCCTATAATGACTCACTCCCTTGGCCTATTTTCCCCTAATAATGCTCTCTTAACTGTCAAGCCTTTAAATATGAATAGAACTGTTATGGATCATTTATACTAAGCAAAAGTCTAGTGCCTTCTTCCCAAGGGAAGAGTCAGGCCTAAGATATAGAACAATCATATTATTCTCTCAAAATGGGAACAGTTAATAATCATTCACTAAAAATGTAGCTTAACCTAGTATGTCAAGTTGCCCAAGTCATTTTCAAACAAGTCATTGACTTAATTTTCCAGTTTCTAACTTCTTAAATTGTTTAAAACCAAGAGGTACTAAGATATGTTGTAGGGTGATTTTAATGAACAAAAACATCTATATAAAAACACTTAAGCTTTATCAAATTTGAAATTACTCATACACACACACACACATACACAGAAACAACACAAATCATCAAAGTCAATACAGATCCTTAGAATATTATCTTTTTTTATGTCAACATACTTTGTAGTGTTCTAAAGAAAACTTTACATGTGAACAAAGAAGTAACCTGATGGTCTAACACATTTACACACACAAAAACATACTCAACCTTTTTAAATAGAGAACAAAAGCATATGGCTAACATGTGAATGAGCAAATATATATAAAAGAATACTACATGGAAAAACAAAACAAAACAAAACAATAAAACGAATACTACCAGAAAAGACTTAATAGTATATTGACAGAGAATTACCAGAAATACAAGCTGGGTTTAGAAGAGGTCATGGCATTAGAAACATTATTGCAAATATCAGATGGATCTTAGCAGAAAGCAAAGAATACCAGAAGAACGACTGTGTTTCACTGACTATACAAAGGCATCTGACTGGTGGATCACAATAAATTGTGGCTAATCTTGAGGAAAATGGGAATCTCAGAACACTTGATCATGTTTATATGAAACTTATACTTGGACGAAGAAGCTGTCCTCAGAACAGAGCAAGGAAACACTGCCTGGTTCACAATCAGGAAAGGAGTGCATAAGGGATGCATCCTGTCCCCGTACCTTTTCAATCTGTGTGCAGAACAGATCATTCGGAAGCAGGGCTTTATGAGGAGTGTGGTATCAAGACTGGAGGAAGACTCATTAACAACCTACAAGATAGGGGAGCTCTGGTGGCCTAGTGGCAAGAAGCTGCATTGCAATCCCAGAGGCGCACAGTTCGAATCCACCAGATGCTCTGCCGAGGAAGGAGGGGCAATCTCCTCCTGTACCAGTCAGATCTGATTTGACGGTACACACACACACACACACACACACACACACAAATAATAAAAAAAAACAAAACCAAACAACCTACAATATGCAGATGACACAACTTGCTTGCTGAAACTGTAAACACTTGCTGCAAAAGGTCAAGACCTGTAGTCTTCAATATGGATTGAAGCTTGACATCAGGAAAACAAAGATTCTCACCACTGAGCCAATTGGCAGCACCATATTAGATGGAGAAGAGACTGAGGTTGTTAGTAATTATAGCATGCTCGAAGCCATAATCAACACTCTTTTAATAACAGCAGTCAGGAAATCGAAAGACGAAATTGCATTGGGAAAATCTGCTGTCATGGACCTCTCCAGAGTGCTGAAGAACAACGATGTCAGTCTAATCCAGGACATGGTCTTCTTAATTACTTGTTATACTTCAGAAAGTTGGACAATGACTAAAGATGACAGAAGAATGAACAGATGCCTTTGAGTTGTAGTGCAGGAGAAGAGTCATGAATATATCATGTACTGTCAAGGAAACAAATAGGTCTGTCTTGGAGAGGGTGAAACCAAGTCTCTCCTTGAAGGCTAAGACTTTGAAGCTCTGCCTAACTTTGGGCATGTGGCCAGGAGAGATTGGTCCTTGGAGAAGCACATCATGCTTAGAAGAGTGGAGGGACAGGGGAGCTCTGGTGGCCTGGTGGCGGGAAGCTGCACTGCAGTCCCAGAGGTGCATGGTTCGAATCCACTAGATGCTCTGCTGGGAAAGGAGGGACAATCTCCTCATGTACCAGTCAGATCTGATTTGACGGTACACAGACACACAAAATAATAAAAATTGAAGAAAAAAAAAAAGAGTGGAGGGACAGCGCAGGAGAGGAACATCCAGCATGAGATGGACTGATATAGTAACTGAGGCGATGGGATTGGTGTGCTGGAATTAGTGAGACTGCCTCAGGACAGGGAAGTGTTCAGAGCTGCTGTGCATAGAGTCGCTAAACATCACAGGCAACTCAATGACACATAACAACAATAACATACTATCACAGATTTGGAAGCAAGAGTAAGAACATGCCTCCGGAAACAGCAAGAGTAACAACATACCTCCAGAAACTCTTATGTAACTTTGATAAATGTTGATAGTTGTACAGGGGCTTCAGGCCTCTTGTTCATAGGGTCACTATGAGTTGTGCTTGAATCGAAGGTAATGAACAAGAACATGAGTTAAAGAACTCCCTATAACAGGAGGACACCGAGAAAGAAGAGTGGCAGAGATTAGCCTAATTTATTAGTAAATAGTCTCAGATGTCATTTGAGGACAATGAATCATTTTAAGAGTTAAAGACAAGCCTTAGTTTTTACCATTTCAAATTCAGCAAATTTGTTAACTATTGATGCTTTAAAAATATGCTTCTGTAGGTTGTGATTCTCTCATCCTTTAGGCGTGGGTTGTCAATTGCTCAGGTCTCATGCAGGGTTATGTCTTATTCACCACAAGAGTCACAGTAATAAAGGCTGCCAAGCACAGGCTAAAAAGGGTGACAGTAAACTGTGCGGTGATTAAGAACCAGACCGCCAGGGTTTGGATCACAACCTACCAGCTTCCTGTTATTTAGCCCTTGTGTATCTATCTCAGTTTCTTGACCTCCAATGACGGGAATAGTACCTACTTCATAGATGGTTATTAAGATGATTAAACAAGATAATTCATTTAAAGAATTTATTGCACTATCTGGTATATGTAAGTGCTTGATTAACGTTAGTTAAAAGCTACTAGCAGTACTAGTATTACCCCCAATTCAAACCTAAAACCATTACAGTTGAGTCAATTCTAACTCATAGTGATTCAAGTGGATAAAGGAGAATTGCCCCATAGGGTTTTCAATATTGTATCTTGAAAAGAAGCCATATCTTTCTCTCTCTTTTTTCTTTTTTTAAAATTTTTATTGTATTATTTTTTATGTGTACCGTCAAATCAGATCTGACTGGTACAGGAGGAGATTGCCCCCTCCTTCTCCAACAGAGCATCTGGTGGATTTGAACCGCGTACCTCTGGGATTGCAGTGCAGCGTCTTCCTGCTAGACCACCAGAGCTCCCTCATATCTTTCTCTCTTAAGAGTGGCTGATGGGTTCAAATCTGTTTTTGAATGCATCGATCTTTTTGGTTAGCAGTTGAGAGCTTTAACCATATGCTACCGGGGCTCTTCGTAATATGACACGTGGATAAAATGAAACTTTCTATTTTATCTCTGTATGTCTCTTCTTTGATGAGGGCTCAGGGGTTCGTGTGGTAAAAAAAAGAAGGGGCCTGTATATTTTATTCAAAAGACACTGAGGATCAAGTCTTATGAATATATAAGCTTATTTTAATATTAGAAAAAAAGTACAGGGCTCCATATCACGAATTTAACATCTTTCTGTTAAACATCACACGATTTTCACCATCATTAGTTACATACACTCTAAATGATATGGAGTTTCTACTGATATTCAGTAACAGCAAGGTCCATAAATTATAACTAAGAAATAGCTGCAGAACTGCATGTTGGGCAGTTATCTGTTTATGCCACAGAGCTTGGACCAACGCTGAGGCTGGGATTCTGTCTCCAGTGCCTAGACTCCCTGACACACAGCCAGGAAGGTCGAGTTCCCGCAGACCTTCATATCTTCACTCACATTCCTTTGTAAGAAAGGAGTTCCAAGAGGTAAAGGAAGCAGCAGCCACTGAGTGCAGAATGCCCCATTTCTACTTCAGGATGATGTGATAGCTATCACTGGTTTCTGCTGTAAAAAAGAAAACAAAAAGAGAATGATCTTTTGGGAGAAAGGGAAAATAAATAAAAACAGAGAAGGTCAAAGGATATCATATTTATTCATTACCACGGAGTAATAAATATCCATTATAAAAACATCATGCCTCTAGGGGGCACTGAGTTTCTGTTAAGGGAGATGTGAAAATTCAGAAATGGGTAGCAATGATGGTGGCACACTGTGATGAATCTAATTAATGTCCCCAAAGGCACATGCACAAAATGCTGAAAGAACAGAGTTCAGGAAGAAAAAACCCCCAAAGCAGTTTCTATTTCCTAATTTGCTGCTTGCTAGTTTCCCTCTCTTTTCACAGAAATAAATTATGAAAACTCTTTAGAGAGACGTACTTGTTTGTCTTTCATTACCTTTCATTGTGTCCAAAATAAAACAAGCTTCTTCCTGAAAGTTCTGTATCATCTAAAAAAAAATCCAAGAAAATTTGTTAATTATTACAAACTGCAGTTGGCTGCGCTTATTTGGATGATGTGCCTTTTTATTCCATCAGATTTAAGTGAAAATAATCCTTCCCTATTTCTGTGTTCCTGAACACCTACACCTAAAGGAGTGGACAGGACCGAGTGTCTACTGGCCCTAATCATAGCTTTATGAATATCTGTAAAATCCTTGGTGCTTTTTACCTCCAAGGATTTTTTTTTTTTATATTGCTGAATATTTTTATTAGCTTAATGACTTGGGATTGCCTTAACATTAATAAGCTTCAACATTAGTCACTAGGCTTTCATTCAGTGGTGGGGAAGCTTTCTTGTTTTTTAAAAAAAGCAATCATTGAAAGGGCATCTATTTCTCGGAAGCTGCAGTGACAGCAGGCTTCTCTTCATGAGGGATGGGGAATGGTGCGCTCAGGGCCAGGGGCCTGTTTCCTTGGTCCCTTCACAGTAAGGACCCCATCAGACACATGGATGAAGTAACTCCAAGAGGGTCCACATGTGCTGGGACCCAGTATTTCCTGTGGAACTTCTGGGAGATGAAGCCATGTTCATCCTGATGCTCTTCACGTTTGCCATGAACTTCAATCACATCTCCCAGCACCTTGACCTTGAGTTCCCCTGGGGAGAAATGCTTCCCATCCAGGTTGACAGAGAACCTATCCTTGTCCAGGTGCATCTCTGAGAGCCTAGTATCAATCCAGATGGATGCCCACAGGAAAAAGGGCGGTCGAAGGTAGAAGGGCTCAAGGAGGTAGAAAATGAAAAGATAACAAGTTCCAGCAAGCATTCCCTGAAGAACTGGTCAGAGGTGGCTGAGGCAGTGGAAAAGAAAGAATGGGCGTCTTACCCAGGGATGGTGGATGGCAATGTCTTTGGCAGCTAGGTAAGTGTAAGGGGTCGGCTGGCTAGTCAGCTCTCTACTAGGGATTTTTTAAAACTCTGTTTTTGTCTGTTCTTCCATATCAGTTTGATTTTTAAAATTCTACAAGATGAACTAAAAGACTGGTCTAAAAATTGGTGTATGCATTTCTCTAGGCCAAGGAGTACATGGACAATGACTGGTCCTACAGAGTAGAACTGATGTTCACGTCTTCAACTTACAGATGGAGTTTTCCCTAAAACAAACTTCTTTAGCATTTCTCCCCCACTTTCCCAGGATTTCTCCTAGGATGGCAAAATATAACTAAAAAGGAGCATTCTAAGCGCATAGGTTAGAGCTCTGGTGACCTCATGGTACAGAGTTGCACTGCCAACTCAAAGGCAGGGGATTCAAATCCTGTTCCAGTGCAATTTACAGGCTCTGCAAACACACTGCAGAGTCAGCTCTGAGTTGGTTCTGACTTGATGACACACATCACTACCACCGCATAATAAGGGCAACACGAAATGCTGACAGACTCATAGGAGAGAATCCCATAGAGTCCAAATCTTTTCTTTCAACAGAATTGAAATCAGATTTAATAAAAGACTGGAAAATGGTAGATGATTTTAAATTCTTTTTTGTAACTTCATGATACAATTGTTGGCATGTAAATTCATAAGTTGGGAAAAAAGCCAGTGATGCTGTTATAACAAAACTGCATCCATTCCTATAAATTTTGTGAATTGGGTTCTACATCATTTATATAAACTCATTCATTACTTTGAATCAAAATCAACTTATAGCTGAGCCCCAGTGGATTTTTCAGGAAGCTATAAATTATCCAGGAGGAGACTGTCCATCTTTCCTCCAAAGGAGTCACTGATGGATTCAGGCTGCCAAAGGGGTGCCACCTTTAGGTTAACAGGGTGACTCCCTACTGACTATACCATTAGAGCTCCCCCATTTATATCAACTCAATTCTCATAGTCACTGAATCAGAACCCTCCAGCAGTTTTTCAAAGGCTATAAATCTCATGGGAAGAGACTATCTTTTTCCTATGAGCAGCTGGTGGATTCGAACCACTTGCCTTTAAATTAGCAAGCCACCTACTCACCCATTAGGTCATCAGAGCTCCCTCTTTTATATCAAAGGGGAGGGGAACAGAAAGGAATCAACAGGCATTCATCTACAGATGAACTTACTGTGGAGAGTGGCTGAAAACAGAACAACCTCATCAATCTCATTTAACAGCTGTATTTCTAATACTGATGTTTTAATAATTACTTACAAATTTATAATATATTATTTTTGTTGTTAAGTGCTGTCAAGTTGATCACGACTCATAGCGACCCTATGGACAAAAGACCTTGTTTTTAAACTAGTTTCTCCAGGTTCATAAAGTTTTCAGAGGCATGTTGTTTGGAAGTGGATGCCTGCTTCCAAGTACGTCTTAATATAGGAGCTCCACCAAATACTGTTAACCATATGTAACCATTTGAAATACCAATGGTACAGCAATGGTTAAATATCACAGCAATCCCAAGTTCCTCAGTACAGCAAATTAACAGATCAGTGCTGTACCATTTAGGAGAATATTCATTATAAACACAAGTTAATATTGCTAAGATGACAGTGTTATCCAAATTGATCAAGGGACCCAATACAATTCCTTTGGTGGCTTCTTTGCCTAAACTGAAAATCTGATCTAAAACTGACAGGAAACTCTAAGATCTCAGCCAAACTTTTTTTAAAAAATAAGTTTGAAAGGATTCGCATTTCCTGATTTCAAAATTTAACTACAAAGCAAGTTTTTTTTAAAAAATTTCTTTTTTTATTTTATTAAATCTAATGAACATTTACAGAGATTTTGGATTTCCATTCATTTATTGTTGCACTTTTCTCCCTGCCCAGCCCCAGTTCCTCCCCCCCCCAGTTCGCTCCTCTCTTTGAAAAGTAAAAGAAAGATTCCTTCTTTGGTATCCAATCTCCCTGCCCCCTCCCACTACCCTAAGTATACTCCACTACACATGCTACCTTCATTCTGGACTTTTGTGATAACCATAATACCCTATCATATATCGCTTTTAAATTATTCTCTCCCTCATCTGTTTCAATGCAGTATACATAATTCATGCAGTTTTTCTCAGTCTTACCCCAACCCTGATGTCAGTTCCATTCTACAACAGTGGCACCAATGCAGTATTTGTCCTTTTGTGACTGAGATATTTCACTCAGCATAATGTCCTCCAGGGTCACCCAACAAAGTAAGTTTTGTAGCTAATCAAGACAGTGCGGTACCGTCAAGGATAATAATTAATGGGCTACAACTGAGAGTCCAGAAATAAACTTGTATATTATGTTGTCTTAATTGCAATAATCACAGTGATCATTCTATTGAGAACTAACTTTTAATTTATAAATAAAGTTTTTGTTTCAAAGAATTAGGATAGATTAATAAAAGATGTTAAAGCATAGAAACTATACTAAGGCAAAAGTCTGTAAGAAAGGTAAACAGAAATACAAGTTTAAGAAAACAAAAGAATGATATAAAATTTCTAACTTTTAAAGAAGTGTATACTCATTTATTTATTTTAAATAGATGATGGTAAGAGAGCTCTGATGGCATAGTGACAAGAAGATGCCCTACAATCTTGAAGGTGCGAGGTTTAAATCCCCCAGATGCTCTGCTGGAGAAGGAGGGGCAATCTCCTCCTGTGCCAGTCGGATCTGATGTGACAGTATACAACAACAACAAAAAAAATAGCTGAGCATTAAATCATTCTTATACTAAGGTTTCATGGAATACTATGAAAATAGTGATGTAACAGCTTCATTTTTAAGTCATGAAATATGCCCAGTATTGACATCTTTCACAACCTTTATATCTTTAACAAAAAATCTGAAGTCAATTTAATAGTATGAAAAGAAGATGTTTTTTGTTTTGTTTTGTTTTGATTACCATTCAGTCATTGTTGCCCTTTTCTCCCCTCCCAACCCTCCCCCCAAAAGGAATTTTTAAAATTCCCTTTAACAGGTAACTAAGCAAAAACATTTGGAAACCTCTGTCTAGAAAACAGAAGACTTGCTCCAGCACATGCCCTGACAAACTATCATCTGGTGGCAGAGTAGGAAGAAGAATCTACCTCATCACTGATGAGCACGTGGATTCCTGTCGGCCCTTGTTTGTAGATCTGGCTGATCTGCTGAGGGGAAATGCTGAAAAGCTGAGCAATCTTTTCTGTCAGTTCTACAGCTGTCAGTTCTTCCAAATAGATGGCATGATACACTGCAAATGGAGAGAGCAACCGTGGTCAGTACTGCACCTGATCATTAGGAATGCCCACTTTTCTGAAGGACTCAGAAGTCAGACTGCCTGTATTCTAGTGTCAGCTCAGCAATTTGCTAGCTGTGTGATCTACGGCAAGTTAGTGAACATCTTTAAGCTTCCCTTTCTCATCTAAGCACTAGATATCACAATAAAAAGATTGAAAAAAATAAAAGACATTAGTTATAAAACCAAGGCATGTAGAAGTGCTCAGAATAGGGCCTGGCATAAATTAGAAGCTCAATAAATATTAGTGATTACCATTACTTCTAGCAAATGCTGAATCTGCTGTTTGATGAATTCCCATCACACATGCCCTTAAGACATCTCTTCACCTCTCTTCATGTCTGTCCTGGTCTGTCCAGAACGACCTACCGAAGAAAGTACCATTTGAGTCTCCATCCTCATGTTTCTGCTGCTGTTGCTCCCTCAACTGCAAAGATTCCTGACAAACATAAATGGTCAATCTTGGGCGTACCATGCTAAAGACAAAAGAAATGAACAAAGAGGCTATTAGTTTAGATTGTTCATGGTAAGCACATTTTGCCATGACATGAAGCTGAATGCTTACATTATAAATAGTACAGAGTAACTATTGAAAACTGGCGATTCATGGGTCAAATACAGTTCATTTGTAAGTTTTATTACTTCCCTGGCGGTGTTTCTATTGTTTAGGCTTAAAAAAAACCCACGCAAAACTGAACTGGTTCATCCAGGAGACATAATACATTTGTGAGCCTGTGGCTTTTTAAAAAAATATCCAACTTGGCAATGCAAGGTTCTCACCTTCACAGGAGAACAGTCAACTGCCCTCCATATTTGACGCATGTTTTCCTCATTTCAGGCCAGACATGGCTTGAACTTCTTTATATTATCTATGATTTTTATACTCATTTGATTTTGTGTCCTTTGGTGTAAAGTTTAGAAATATTAAAAATATGTGAGCCATTGCCTTATGTGTCAGGTTTAAGACCTATACAATTACTACTTAAAAATTCCAATAAATACTGTGGAGTACTTTTATGTTCCTACTTCCCTTGTTTGGAAGGGTGGACAGATAGCACAAAAGAAGACGACTTTGGATAAGATTGAGGTAGGTGTGTCAGAGACACAATGAGTGACATTGTCAGAGTGACAATGGCTCAGAATAGGGCAGGGCTCAGAGCTACTGTACATAGGGTCACTATGAGTCACAGGCCAATAAAACAACCAAGTAGCTTTAGTGGAATAAGAGATATCATTGCTGATGTCAGACAGATACTGGCTGAAAGCAGACAATACCAAAAAGGTATTTATTTGTATTTTCTTGACTATGCAAAGATACTTGACTGTATGCATCAGAACAAATTGTGGATAACACTGAGAAGAATGGAAATTCCACAACACTTAATTAGGTCAGAAATTGTGTACAGACAGGCTCTTTTAGAAGCAGTTGTCTGAATATAACAATACTGCATGGTTTAAAATAAAGAAATTACGGCTGTATCTTTTCACTATACCTATTTAAACTGCTGAGCAGTTTAAAGAAAAGCTGAACTGTATGAAGAATATGATGTCAGGAATGGAGGAAGACTTGTCAACGACCTGTGATATGCAGATGACAAAACCTTGTTTGCTGAAAAAAAGGATTTGAAGTGCTTATTGAAGTATCTCAATAACTACAGCCTTCAAGATGGATTACACCTTAACATAACACCTCAACTCATTGAAACCAACTCACGGTTGACCTCCAATGGGTTTCTGAGGCTGTAAATCACATAGACAAGATTGTCTATCTTCTCTTGCAGAGCTGCTGATGGATTCTAACCACCAGACCTGCCCAAAGGTTAGCAGCACAACTCCTTATCAGAGCTCCCCTCATCAAAATGAAGAAAACTAATATCCTCACAACTGGATTTACAGGCAGTATCACAATAAAGAAAGAAAAGATTGAAATTGTAAATTATTTACTTTTACATGGATCCACAATTAATGCCCATGGAAATGGCAGTAAAGCTGGCACACAACTAACTGTGATGAACAAATCTGTCAAACACCTCGCTAAAGTGCCAACTCTAATCAAGATCACTTTAAAGACTGTACCAGACTCATGCTGTGGTATTTTGAAATGCTCTATATGCTTGTGAAAGTCGGACTGTGACTAGGAAAACTGGGAGATCTGGTGGCCTCGTGCTAAGAAACTGTGTTACAATCCCGAAGGCATGTGGCTTGAACCACCAGCTGCTACCAGAAGGATGGGCAATCTCATCTTGTGAGATTTAGCTGCCTCTGAAAATTCATTGGAAGGTCAGCTATGAGTTGGTTCTGATTCAGCAGTACACATCAAAACAACAGAAAAATTAATGCTTTTGAACTATGGTGTTGGTGAAGAATATTCAGTATATCATGGACTTTGGAAAGAACAAATAAATTTATTTTAGAAGTTGTTCAACCAGAGTGCTTCCCAGAAGCAAGGATGGTGAGACTTGGCCTCACATATCTTGGGCATGCTATCAGGAAAGGTCAGCCTTTAGAAAAAGACACTGTGCTTGAATAAGAAGAATAAGACCTCAATGAAATTAACTGACACAGTAACTGCAACAATGGGCTTGAGCACAGCAGAGATTGTAAAGATTGTACAGGTTCAACCTTTGTTCTTCTGTACACAGTGTATTATAAATTGGAGAAAACATGATGACATTGAAAAATAACAAGGAGTCTAGGACTTTTCTGTTCTTTTGAGGCAAAGGCATTCATACCACTTTATCTGAATTGATACCTTTGAACTGTGATGTTGGAGAAAAGTACTCAATATCCCATGGATGGCCAAAAGAAAAAGATGTCTCAGAGAAGAAGCAGCCAAGAGTGCTCCTTGGAGACAAAGATAATGAAGCTTCATCTCACAGACTTTGTGCATGTTGCTATGAGAGGTTATTCCTGATAGGGGTTATGATGCTTGGGAAGGTGGAGGGATGGCAAAGGACAGGAAGAAGATTCTCAACCAGGTGGATTGACACAGCGACTGCAGCAATGGGCTTGAGTGTGTCCGAGATTGTGAGGATGACATACGATAGACAAGGTTCAGATCTGGCGTTCAAAGAGTTACTATCAATCTTACTCAACGGCACCTAATAACAACTCAGAAAATGCTCTAAGAAACAAAGGACTTTTTTTTAAATTCGTTCATTGTTGCACATTTTCTCCCCTCCCCAGTCTACTTTGCAATTCATTTCTTATTCTAAATTACTGTTTTACATATAATACCTAATCATATATTCCTTTCAGACCATTCTTCCCCTCATCTGTTCCAATGCAGTGTTCATTATCTATCTACTCTTTTCCTAGTCTCCCCTCAAACCTCCATGTCAGTTCTACTTTATAACAGCAGTATTAGTCCCTTTGTGACTGAGATATTCCACTCAGCATAACGTTCTCCAGGCCCATCCATGTTGTATAATGTTTCGTAGGTTCATTGTTACATGGGTGTACATACATTTGAGTCATGGCTCTGGTTTCTTTAGCATATATTCTCAATAGTGGAATTGCTGGGTCAAATGGTATTTCTATTTCCAACTTTTAGAGAAAATGCCCGACCATCTTCCATAGTGGTTGTACCATTTTGTATTGCCACCAGCAGTGAGTAAGAATTCCAATCTCTTCACAACCTTGCCAGTATTTGTTGTTTGCTGCCCTGTTTAACTTTACTGCTGGGGCGAGATGATATTTCATTTGTTTTGCTTTGCATCTCTCTGATAGCTAGGAATATTAAACATTTCTTCATGTGTTTGTTTGCCATTTGAATGTCGTCTTTGGCTAAGTGTTTATTTATATCTTGACTAATTTTGCAATTGAGTTGTTTACCTTTTTTCTCGTTGAAGTACTGGAAGATTTGAGAGATTTTAGATAAAAGTCTCTTATTACATATATCAATGGGGGGGGGAGATATATATTATTGCCAAATATTTTTTCACAGTCTGTGGGTTTCCATTTCACCTTGTTGAAGACGTTTTTTGATGTGCATAGGGATTTGATTCTGTGTGTGTGTGTGTGTGTGTGTGTGTGTGTGTGTGTGTGATCTGACTGGTACAGGAGGAGATTGTCCCTCCTCCAGCAGAGCATCTGGTGGATTTGAACCACACACCTCAGGGATTGCAGTTCAGCTTCTTGCCACTAGGCCGCCAGAGCTCGCCAGGATTTGATTCTTACAAGGTCCCATTCATCTACTTTATTCTCTCCTGGTTGTAGGTTTTGCATTACGCTTGGATATATCTGTTTATGCCATGGAATAGGGCTTCTATAGTTGTTCCTAGCTTTTCTCTGATGAATGCTATAGTCTTTTTTTTTACTCCTAGGTCCCTGACCCATCTTGAGTTGGTTTTTTGTGTCTGTTGTGAGGTATGGGTCTTGCTTAAGTTTTCTAACAATTGTTTTCAAATTTTGCCAATTCCTTTGTTTAAAAGGGTGCCATTTCCCCACTTAACTGATTTTGTCTCCTTGTCAAAAATCAGTTAACCATAGGTAGATAAGCTCATTTTGGGGTTCTCAATTCTATTCCAGTAATATCTGTGTCTGTCACTGTCTGGTATCATGCTGTCTTGACGACCATGCCAGTGTAATAGGATTTGAAATCAGGGAGTGTGATGCCTCCTAACTTGTTTCTCTTTTTCAAGAGTTCTTTGCTTATCTGAGGCAAAAGACCAATTCTTTCCTCCTGTTGTCACTCTTGAATTTAACCATTCCTTACAATTTTCCAGGATTATATCCCCTTGATTTAATATTCCTTTCCACAAGTACATATAAGTAACAATTTTCTTTTATTATTTAGTTACCAACTTGGTTCTGTTGTCATCAACTTGTATGCTGTTTCTATTAATGTTACTTAATGGGAAGCATAAATTCCAAAAGAGAAAGGACTACAATGTGCCAAATAAACAAACAAACTCATTGCCATCAAGATGGAACTGACTCATAGCTGACCCTCTTGCAGGATTTTAGAAGGTGTAAATCACACAGGAGGAGACGGTCCATTTTTCTCCCAAGAGCAGCTTATAGACTCAAACCATGCATTTTTGGGTTTGCAACAAAGGTCCTTACTCACTAGGCCATCACTAATCCCTGTATCAAAATGTAAGAAAGATTTTTTTCATCTTTGTTTAAGTGGCACATAGAAATGTTTTGGGAAGATACATTTAGCTTTGTAAACAGGATTTTGAATAGTCCAAGTCCATTTGATACCCAAACTCACCAATATTTTGACACTAATTACATACCGGCCTTTTAATGCATTAAAAAGTCTGATTCCATCGGCAGGGCCACAGATTTGGATCACGTCATCTCTAGTTAGTTTCAGTAAATCTGCCCCTGGAATAAATATAAGAAAACAGCTGATAAAGGCAAAGATGGTCTTTGTTAATGATGATTAAAAGAGGCTTTGTTGTTACAAGGACATCTCATTAGTATGTTATAGTCCATAATCTTCTGCAGGGCATACAAGGCTCTCCAGGACCTGGGCTGGCCTCCTCTCTAGCCTTAATTCGCACCCAATTAACTTTTCCACTTAACCTTTGTCTTCATTATATTGATTTCAGAACCTCTGTGCCTAATGAGCCATTTTTTCTCTGCCTGAAATATCCTTCTATCTGACCAACAGATTCCTCCTATTGTTCAATATTCATTTCACACAACACACATGTTCTCCGATACCAGATGCTCCCCTGAACGCCTGGCTTTGTATACCCTCTGAAGAAATACTTCTCTACTGCAGCACAATTAATTATTAACCTTTTTGGGTGGGGGTGTGATCTATCTTATTTCTCCCCCATTAGATGACAAATGAGTTTTATGATCAAGAATTACATCTTATATATTTCTGGATTCCAACCACCCCTGTTAAACAGAAGGTGCTAAATTAAAAGGAAAATTAAGTTAAAAAGGAATATAGTGAAGCCCAGGGAAAAATGTTAGAGTATCTTCAAATGTCCCTTAATACAATTATAAATGAAATGTTTATTTTAAAAGTAGTGTATGTAACAAACACTTTAAAATATTAAAGTGAATTTATACTAAGGTTTTTTTTTTGGCTTTTTTTTTAAATTTCACAGTAGGGTTGTAGCTGGTGAGAAAACTGAAGAGCTGTACAGAATTAATTTCACCAGAAAAATACACTAAGATCTATCACTCTTTTTCACTCTCTCTCTCTCTCTCTCTCTGACAAAGGATAGTACAGGGTTCAGATCAGATTTGTTGTTCATAGAGTCACTTTGACTCATAGTCAATTGGAAGGCACCTAACAACAACAATAACAACATTGAAATTAGAAGCTCCTAAAATGTAAACAAATACCCCCTGCCGAATGGTTGGGAAAATGGGAAAAGACAAGCAAATGTAACCTGAGAAGTTTGTGAAAAGTCTTGTGAATGTAGAAAAACGGTTTCGATGCAACCATTGCTGAGCCTCCTGAGGTGTGGTTGTTGGCAAGAGGTTCTGAAAAAAAGTATTTTTCAAGTAACTAAGAAGATTTATTGTTTAACTGATTAGGTGTAACATAGTCAAATACATCTACACATATTCACACTTAGGTTCAATTTACTTGGAACTTGTTATTACATCACTCTCTCCTTATATAAACATGCAACAAGTCAACAGAGTTCATCCTTATCTTCTCTATAGTACAGTAATGCCCTTAAAAATAAGAATCTTGGAATTACTTATTTCAAATCCTCCACTTTTTAGTATAGTAGCAAGTCAAAATTCAACAGCTATTTGCTTAATGAATGAATAACCTTCCCCAGAACCTAGGCACTTCTAATGAACTGTATAGTCAAAGTATTATTTACTCAATCTCCAAAATCAATCTCAGAAAGAATTATTCACTCACTCACTGCCATCAAGGTGGAACCAACTCACAGCTAAGGCTCTAGCTGGTTTTCTGAGGCAGTAAATCACATGGGTGGAAACTGCCCATCATTCTCCCATGAAGCTGCTGGTGGATTTGAACTGCCTGCCTTTGGTCTGGCAGCTTAGCTTCTTACCCACTAGATCACCAGAGCTTCCTTAAGTATTATTAGACTTTGCAAATAACATTCAATATTAAACTTACATCTGTGACTGGAGGGGGTGGTTCTGGCTGGTGGTTTGGTGAACCATTCCTAAAGAAACATTTAAAAATAAAGAAAGAGTCCATGACACATGCAAAGGAATTGGGAAATTTATTATCTCTTTCATCTTCACAACAAGTCTTAAGCTGGAGTTTAAGAGATCAAGGGAAAGAACTGTTCAAAAGGGACATATGATTGGATATAATTGTTGTGACAGGAGTTTAGAACGAGGGTAGCATGGTGGAGTGGACTTGGGGGTGGGACTGAATAACAAAGAATTATTTTTATTTTTTTTTTAATTTTCAAAAAAGAAAAGCAAATTGGGGGAGGGGTGGGCAGAGAGAAAAGTGCAACAATTAATGAATGGAAATCCAAAGTCTCTCTAAACTTTCATTAAAATCAATTTAAAATTAAAAAGAAAAAAGAGATCAGTGCTGTTTAAGTTATGATTCAAGGGCCAGCTTTACATCTCTTATTCTTATATTTCTTTTGCTCTAAGGATTTTTCCTCTTACCTTATATTTCTTTTTTTTCTATTTGTTACAAAACAGAATTTTAACTCTAATAATAAAACCATATAAAAAGGACAGAAAAAAACCTTTCTAAATCTAAATACACTCATAGATTTGGTAACTTATATCAAACCTATTGCATTAAATGCCAAAACTACAAAACAACTGCACATCTTAAACATCAAAACTAGAATACAATATATATTAAATGTCAGGGCTTTAAAACAACTATTGGTGGGTTTTTTTTTAAAAAAAAAAACAACAAACAAACCTGGAGTAGGCATTTCTATCAACTTTCTGTACCAATCTTTGATGGTAAAAGACAATAACCCAAGAATAAACGTACACCATTACATAATTTCAACATTTTATTTTAGTCAATATTTTAAAATTTCTTCCCCCAATTATCAATGATAATACCTAGGATTAGGAGCATTCTTAACAAGTAACAAAACAAGTTTTAGTATTTGCAGACCTGTTGTTCCAATGACCACTCTCTGTTAAAAGTACAACAGGAAGTAAAAACCCACAAAGTCAGCAGCAACACACTTCAGTTCCTAAGCCAATTTAAAATGACCAATAAATGCTACTTTTTTAAGGGAAATTTTTTTAAAAGGAAGAGAGAATAAATAAATAGATGAATGGGACCTTCTAAGAATCAAATACCTAGGGAGCTCTGGTGGCCTAGTGGCAAGAAGCTGAACTGCAATCCCAGAGGCACATGGTTCAAATCCACCAGATGTTCTGCTGGAGAAGGAGGGGCAATCTTCTCCTGTACCAGTCAGACCCAATTTGACGGTACATACACAAAATATAATAAAATAAAATAGAAAATAATAATAATAAAAAAAGAATCAAATACCTAAGCACATAAAAACTTCTCCAACAGGGTAAAAAGGAAACTCACAGACAAGTGAAAAATATTTGGCAATGACATATTTGATAAAGGACTTATATATAAAACTGGTAGAATACTGCAGTACCTCAAGTACAGAAAGGTAAACATCCCAACACAAAATAGTCACTGGATATGAACAGACACTTAGCTGAAGATGTTCAAATGGCAAACAAAGACATCAAGAAATGTTTAAAATCCCTAGCTATCAGAGAGATGAAAATCAAATGAACTATAAGATACCATCTTATACCAGCAATAATAGCAAAGTTCAACAGGGCAGCAAACAACAAATGCTGGCAAGATTGCAAAGAGACTGGTTGGTGGCAACATAAAATGGTATAATCACTACAGAAGGTGTTCTGACACTTTCTTAAAAAGAAATAGAAATAGAAATAGAAATACCATTTGACTCAGCAATTATACTACAGGGAATATACTCTAAAGGAACCAGAGCTGCAAATCAAACATGTATGCACACCCTTGTATATTGTTGTGCTGTTCACAATAGCAAAGAGATAGAAACAATCCAAGTGCCTATCAATAAATGAATGGAAATGAATGAATGTAATACATTTGCACAATGGAATAGTACACAACACTGAAAAATAATGAACTGGTAAAACACTATACAACATGGGTGGGCCTGGAGGACATATTGCTGAGTGAAATATCTCAGTCACAAAAAAGGAAAAATACTGCTTAACACCGCTGTTAGAAAATGCGACAGACTTGGAAAGTTGGGGAAAGAATAGGAAAAGGGTACGTAAATAATGAACACTGCACTAGAACAGATGAGAAAAACTGTCTAAGAGGAATATATGATTAGGCCTTATATGTATGATAACAATCTGGAACAAGAGGTGCATTACTGGGAGAGGGGGAAAGGATGAGGAGGAAGAAAATGTGCAACAATGAATGAATAAAAAATAATTTAAAAAGAAAAGGAAGTGCGACAAGGCTACACAAAATTCTTTCAATCTCTTTTGAAAATAATCTAAACTTTAGTTAACATATAAATCTATCAAAGATTGGACCAATGGAGGAACTGATTTATTTGAAAACATAACCTAAAAGCATACATAATAGAGACAGATAAAAGTCAGTTTCATTTCTCAGACTTACCCTTCCCCAAGAGAAAAACTGCTATGGGAACTGTTGAAACCAGGTGATGGGGAATTATTGACATATGTGATCTCAGGCCACGGAGAACACTATAAACAAAGGACAAATTGGATAATGGAAAAGCACATTTGACCTTAGGGTTTCCTTAAACATTATAACTTGAGTAACACACATCTTTATGAGTCAATCTTAATTCATCAAGACCCCACTAATCAAGAGACGACCATTAGGGTTTTGTTTTTTGTTGTTGTTTTTTTAAAATTTATTTTATTTCATTATTTTGTGTGTGTACCATCAACTCAGATCTGACAGGTACAGGAGGAGATTGTTTCTCCTTCTCCAGCAGAGCATCTGGTGGACTCGAACCATGCATCTCTGAGATTGCAGTTGCAGCTTCTTGCCACTAGGCCACCAGAGCTCGCCCACCATTAGGGTTTTAACGAGGCTGGAATTGATGGATTTTCCTTCGAAGAGTAATTAAAGTATCACATTGTTGTTGTTGTTGTTATGTGTCCTGAGACTTACAGTGACTCTACGTACAGCACCTCTGAAACCTGCCCTATCCTGAGCCAGTCTCACTGACTCTGACACACCATCCTGCATTGCCCCAGTTACTGTTATCAATCCATCTCATCTAAACATTCTTATAAAATGGATGAAATTAACAGCAATAGATGTTCTTTTACCTCTGTGAGTATAGTTGTCTCATAGGAAGGTTGATACTTCTCCTTTTCATGTGGTGTTCGTTTCTCCATTTTTTCCCTATCTGTTTTTTGCTTTCTGTCTGCTCCTTTGGGCTGAAACGAGAATACTGTATTTTAAACTCAATAAAATACTTCAACCCAATAATATCAGGCATAAGACATTAAATATCTGCCCATGAAACAAAGACTTGTATATAAAGATGCCGAAGGCACCACTACATGAAAAACTGCAAATAGAAAATATAAATGTTTACAGGGTTGAAAAAGAAAGAAAAGGATTTGATAGAGAGCTACAGAAAAATCTTTTCTTCTTCTTTTTGTAACAAATCCGTTTACTTTTTTTTTTTCCTCATCAGTACCACTGAGATCCTTGTGGTTTCCATTTCCCACTGCTACCTCTATTACAGTAGTTAATGTGCAATCTCACTTAGGGGCCAGACAGATCTTAAGTACATCCAAATCATACCCATTGCTTTCAAGTCAATTCCAACTCTCACCAAGAGAAATGTCAACTACTTGCCTTTTCAATTACTTGGTATACATTTGAGAGTTGTACAATAAATAAGGATGACAGAAGATTGATATTTTTGAGTTGTAGGGTTGGAGAAGAGTACCCAATATCTCCTAGTTGCCAAAAGAATAAAAAGAGATGTCTTAGAAAAAGTGCAGCCAGAGTGCTCTTTGGAGACAAGGATGGCTAAGTGTCATATACATACTTTTGGCCTGTTGCTAGGGGAGGCTATTCCCTGGAAAGGGACATTATGCTTGGAGAGGTAAAGGATCAAGGAAAGACAGGAAGACCTTCAACAAGATGGACTGACACAGTGACTGGAGCAACAGGCTCAACTGTGTCCGAGATGATGAGGACGACACAGGATAGGACAAGGATCAGATCTGTTCACTGGTTTGCTGAGTCGTACTCGACTCAACTGCACATAAAAACAACAACCTGTTACTTGTTGCCGTTGAGTCACTTCTGACTCTAAATGACTCTACTTAGAATAGCTGCCCCATAAAGTTTCCAATGCTGTATATCTTTACAGAAGCAGACTGCCACATCTTCCTTCTGCAGAGCAGCTAGTGGATTCAAACTCCCAACCTTTTGTCCAACAACTCAGTACTTAACCAGTGCATTACCATGGCTCCTTGAAAAGTACACAGTTAACCAAAAGGAAGGGAAGCTCTGGGCTTGTTGTTATTGTTGTTATGTGCCGCCGAGTCACTTGAAAGTCACAGCAACCCTATGTAGAATACCCCAAACCCTTTGCTCAGTCCTGTGCCAATCTTATTGTCTCTGGCATAACTACCCCAGTTACCCTAGTCACTAAATCAATCCATCTCATCCAGGGTCTTCTTCTCTTGTGCTGTCCCTCCACCCTCTCCAAGGTCTGGTTCCTCCTTGCAACATGTCCAAAGGATGTCTGACGGAGCTACAAAATCCTTGCCTCTACAGAGTAACCTGGCTTCACCCTCTCCAGGATGAACTTGTTTGTTCTCCCAGCAGTCCACGGTATATTCAATACTCTACTCCAGCACCATAGCTCAAAGGCATCAATTCTCCTTCTATCATCCTTAGTCATTGTCTGGTGACACTGTGAATGCAAAGGTATGCATTCAAATCCACCAGGAAGAAATGGAATGGAAACAAAGACGAAGAAAGAGAGCAGTGAACTGGGAACAGGCCTGACAGGATAGCCATTTTGTACTTTACAAGCAGGTGTCTGATCAGGGTAGGAACCCTGGACTGCAGCAGAAACTACACCAGCAGCTGAGTGACTACAATGACAATCTCATGTCTCCCTTTCCCCCACACCCTCTCAGGAATGAGGAGAGTGACTGTCACCCTCACTCACTCACCAAGTAGACAGCAGTGTTCCCCTGGGACCGCCCCACTGTATCTAAAGTGAAGTGTGTGCCATTGTCTATCTGGCACCAAGATCATGTAATTTCACCCATGTTCTCTACATCCTTGCACCCATGGAGTGTGCCATTCCTGGGACAGGATCTAGCCTGAAGCCAGCCTCTATACCGACAGAAGCATCATCTCTGATTAAGATTCTTGTCTCTGGTCCTCTGCTGGGTTGGCAGAAACTACTCATCAGTAGGTTGAATCCCCCTGGATTTGGTACCTGGTGTAGAACATGCTCATGTTTGGAGCTGTATACACTTCACCTCCTGGAGTCAGCAGAGTCCACTGTCCTTGGTCCTTTCTGGGTAGGGAGCAACTGTCCTTGGCAGGACAACCCTGAAGGTTTAGTGTCGGGAGCTCCTTGCTCCCATATGAGGTGGTGTATGTTCTCCTACTCAAATTTGTGCCCACTTGCAACCCATGTCCCTGACAGGGAATCCTTATCGATCTGGCACCAAGTGCACACCACTCCCACATTTGGACACATATGTGTCCTCTACTTCCTCACACTGGTAAAATGAGTTATCTCTGACTGGGTGCTCTTTCTGTACCCATTCCCTGGAGTGACAGAGGCATCATCGCTCGCCCGGTAGACTGCCCCATACACCACTGAGGCCATCAGAAATTCTGCCCCAGGCTGTGCGCCCTGCCTCTTAATGTACCACAAGTGATCAGAGGTGCCATCCTTGGCTTGGTACCATGTCTCCAGCTACTCCCTGGAACAGCACAGGCTCTGTCTATGGTTGGGTGCCTTGCCCTCAGTCACCTCCCAGATGAATAGAAACTATATCCTGATTAGGCACCCAACCCCTAACCTTCTGCTGAACAGAAAATCTGCCCAGACCAGACATCCTGTTCCCACCTGCCTCAGCAGTGGCAGGAGTGTAAATCCCCCTAGGTTCCTCCTTTTTGCTATTAATTTTCTTTTTATCCCTTCTTTTCAGTTATGTAGTTTGTGGTGGGCTTTTCTTCTTTCTCTTCTTCACTTACGATTTTTCCTTTCCTTTGTTAATCTTTCCCCCTTTTCTAGTCTTCTTTTCACCTTCCTTTTGTATCCTCCTAAATTTTGCTTTTCCTTTTTTGTCTAATTTTGGTTTTGTTTCTTAGAGGTTTTTTCCCTTCCTTCGCTTTATTTTCTGGGTGTGTGTCCCATCTGGCAACAGAAAATAAGAGTGTCCACACTACCCAATCTCTCAATCTCTCTCTCACACACACATAAACTCGCACACACTCCTCCTGCAGCTTCACTCACTTAGCAACAGTAAACAGCAGCTCTGATAGGATCCAATGGAGACTGCAACCAACACTGCCCAGGCTGCTCTCAACATCCTACATGAACATCCAATAAGGAACTACATCACACCTCTATCCTCCATCACACCCAGGAAATGGAAGCCTAAGGATTAGAACTGTCAAATTAGTGAGCTGTGTAGCACACACACCCTGCTCAATCAGAGGTAGTAAAACAAAAGAATATAAATGGGGCATCACAATGTCTTAGAGGCAACAGGTAACTTCAGATCACCTACACAAGGGGGTGGTTACCCTCTTTCTGTAAAAACATAACACAACGAAGTGATCAAAACATACAGTCAGAAAATATTTCCGAGAAAGAAATGCTATTGGAATTTATTGATAATAAATTCAAAAGAATGACATGTGCCTTCTGAGAAAAAGGGAGTAAACCACTGAAGGTCTGAATCACAGAACCACAGATGTTCTCTATGTTATCAAGGAAAACAGATAAAACTCTAGAAGAATTAGGAAATAAACAAAAAAAGCAATACAAGAACAAATCCACAAAATGAGTAGAAAATCAGAAGCCATAAAAACTTAGCAAATTGGAATTTGTAAGGTTTAGACAAAATTTCAGAAATAGCACTCTGGAAGGACAAAAGAGTAGAATTGACATATAATTAGTAAGAGTTAAGAAAAATATCAGGAAAAAAGAAGGAAGAAAAAGAAAGGAAACCTAAGAATTACTTGGGACACCATCAAGAAGACTGGAATTCCAGAACAGGAAGAAAGAAAGACACTAAGAAAAAAGCAAGCAGAAAATCCTTGAAGATTTGATAGAACAAAGCTTCTCAAACATTATGAAAGAACATGTGCCTTCAAGAAGCTCAACAAACCCCAACAAGAGTCCCAAAATCACCAAAGACATATCATAATCAAATTTTCCAAATTCAAAGACAAAAAAAGAATACTGAAAGCAGCTTGGGAAAAATAAAAAGCTACCTACAAAGGAAAACCTATAAAGCTAAGCTTCAACTTCTCAGCATAGGCCATGAAGGCAAGAAGGCAAAATAATTATATCTAAAACTCTGCAAGAAAAAACCCTGATCACCACAACAAAATAAAGGTAAATAATCCAATACAAAAATGGGCACAGGATATGAACAGACACTTCACCAAAGACGACATTCAGATGGCTAACAAGCACACGAAGAAATGTTCAAAATTCCTACCTCTAAGAGAGATGCAAGTTAAAACAACTATGAGATATCCTCTCACCCCAGGAAGAATTGCAAAATTTAACAGAACAGCAAGCAACAAATGCTGGTGAGGTTGTGGAGAAACTGGAACCCTTATTCACTGTTGGTGGGAGTGTAAAATGATGCAACCACTGTGGAAGGCAGTATGGCGCTTTCTCAAAAAGTTGCAAATAGAGATACCATTTGACCCAGCAATTCCACTACTGGGAATATACCCCAAAGAGATCATAAATGACATCCAAGCAGATATATGCATACCCATGTTTATTGCGGCTTTGTTCACAATAGCAAAGAGGTGGAAACAACCTAAGTGCCCATCAACAAACGAATAGATAGAGAAGCTGTGGTATATTCACACAATGGACTACTATTCTGCACTGAAAAACAAGCAACTCATGCATTATTATTCAAAATGGGTGACCCTGGAGGACATAATGCTGAGTGAAGTATCTCAGCACAAAAGGACAAATACTGCATGGTGCCACTGTTGTAAATCAGGACTGACCTCAGAGTTAGGAGGAGACTGAGAAGGATGGGTTCAATAATGTATACTGTACTGAAACAGATGAGGGAGAAAACTGTTTAAGAGGGAAAATTATTAGGGATTTTTGTCATGACAGGAGTCCAGAGAGAAGGCTATATAGTGAAGTGGACCTCGGGGGAAGGATTGTAAAACAATGAAAGAATTTTTCTTGTACTTTTCCAAGAGGGTAGTGTACTAGGGGGGAGGGTTGGGAGAGGAGAAAAGTGCAACAATGAGTGAATGAATGGAAATCCAAAGACTCTGTGAATTTTCATTTAAATTAATAATAAATTTTAAAAAAAGGAAAAAACCCTGCTAACCAAGAAGTATATACTCAGCAAACCTGTCTCTCAAATACAACAGGAAAATCAGGACATTTTCAGATAAACAGAAATTAATGGAACCTGTAAAAAAACAGACCAATTTTATAAGAAATACTAAAAGAAGTTATTTGGACAGAAAACCAAGAAGGGAAGATTACAACTTGAAATTAACACACATGAGAACCTTATTCAGGAGCCAACTTGGACATGGGAATATACAAAGCCGAAACATTTCCAGTCTTAAAAGACTAAAATAGAGAACTAGAGACATCAGTCTGTAAATAAGAACAACTATGAAGCACAAAGAGGGAATAAACAGTGTAGCTACAGAACGTCAAAAATGAAGAGCAAGCCAAGTCAGTTTCTACTGTTTTAGACTTGAGAAAGAAATGTAACTTAGAGAGTAACTTAAAAAAAAGAATAACCCTTCTCATTAAATAAAAAGAAAAATCATAGTTACCAAAACAATAGCAATGAAGAAAATGCTAAGAAGAGTCATAAGCAAAGTAACAGCACAGAAAAGTACACAGAGGCAGATACGACTTTACACAACTTGGAGAGCCCACTTTTCTTCTCCTGTGGTTGGAGATCTTCGCTGGATAGGTGCAAGTCAGTTTGGTAGACCCTGTTGGTTGACAGGGTGTGGCTTTGGCATGGAGCAGATGACCCTCTCATTCTGCAGAGGACTCAATTGTTTGCATTTCTCTTAAGTATCTTTTTAATCCTTTCTGCTTGGGCCTCATATTAGTGCACATGTCATAGTCCCTCCCCAGGACTCGTTCAAGTTTAACCTGATACTTGTCAGGCTTTTGATTAGCACTTTGCTTCTCACATGCTCACTCACCCTGGAAGAAGCTAGCGAGCTGCCATGTCATTAGGACACTCAAGCAACCTATCGCCATGGTCTAGGTGATGACAAACTAAGCTTTCCTGCCACATCCAGAAAGAAAATGAAGCCTTTGATAACAGTCTGTCAAGTCCTCCAATCACTGCAGCTTGAAGCTGTTCTGACGGCTAATGAGATCTTGAGCAAAAAAATCTCTACACTAAACTGCTTCTGAATTTCTAACTACAAAATGAGTGAAATAATAAATATTTATTTTGTGTTGTTTTTTAAAAGTACAACAATGAAAAAGTATTAAAATATTTTCAATGTTAAAAAAATAAAGGTTAAAATAGAAAAAATAATTATTTGGAACAAGGGAGCTCTGGTGGCCTAGCTGCAAGAAGCTGTGCGCAATCCTGAAGTTACATGATTCGAATCCACCAGATACTCCGCTGGAGAAGGATAGGCAGCCTCCTCTTGTGCCAGTCAAATCTGACTCAATGGCACACAACAAAAAAAACCCAACAACAAAGTATATGGAACAAAAAATTAAAATCATCAGTAGCACACATACACACAAGCACAGTAAAAGGACAGCAATAAAACATACCTACTCAGTAATTACACTGAAAAGAAATGGATTAAATGTACCTGTCAAGAGAAAAAGAATAGCTGAATGGATAAGAAAACATGACCTATCAGTATGCTGTCTATAAGAGACATATCTTAGACACCAAGAAAAAGATTAAAAATCAAAGTATAGAAAAATATATTAAACAAATAATAATTAGAATGTAGTTGCAATATTAATATATGATAAAATAAACATGAAGGCAATATCCAGAAGAGACAAGGAAAGATGTTATTATAACTATTAAAAGCTCAACTGAACAAAAAGACAGAACTGTAAGTATCTACACTCTCAATGACAGAATCCTAAAATATATAAATCATATTTAAATAGATTTGAAGAGAAACAGACAATTCCACAATTACAGGTGTTGTTGCCATTAGGTCCCACTGAGGCTTCTACGACTCACAGTGATCCTATGAACAGCAAATCAAAACCTTGCCCTAATGGAAAAGGTAATCTCCAGTTTCATTTGGAATGGAAAGAGATCCCAAATAAGCAAAGCATTCCTTAAAAAGAGAAACAAGGTAGGAGGCTTCTCACTCCCTGATTTCAAATCCTACTATACTGCTGTGGTGGTCAATACAGCATAGTACTGGTACGATGACAGACATATACATCAATGGAATAGAATTCAGAAGCCACAAATCAGTCCGTCTACCCATGGTCAACTGATTTTTGACAAGGACATGAAATCAGTTAAGTGGGGCAATAACAGCCTTTTTAACAAATGGTGTTGGCAAAATTGGAAAATCATCTGCAGAAAACTCAAGCAAGACCCACATCTCACACCATACAACAAAAACCAACTCAAAGTGGGTCAAGGACTTAGCACTAAAACCAGGGAGTATAAACTTCCTTAGAGAAAAGCTCGAAAGAACTTTAGAAGCCCTAATCTTCCAATCATGAACAATCTTCCAATCATCCTAAAAAAACCTACTACCAGGAGAGGATAAAAGAAATGAATGGGACCTTCTAGAAATCAAATCCCTATGCACATCCAAAAACCTCTCCAACACTGTAAAAAGGGAAGCCACAAACTGGGAAAAAATATTTGGTAATGACATGTCTGATAAGGGACTTATATCTGGAATTTCTAGAATACCTGAATACCACAAAAAGATAAGGTAAACAACCCAACTGCAAAATGGGCACAGGATACGAACAGACACTTCACCAAAGACATTCAGATGGCAAACACACACATGAAAAAAATGTTCAAAATCCCTAGTTCTAAGAGAGATGCAAATCAAAACAACTATGAGATATCATCTCACCCCAGTCAGAATAGCAAAATTCAACAGAGCAGCAAACACCAAATGCTGGCAAGGTTGTGGAGAAACTGGAACTCTTATTCACTGTTGGTGGAAATGTAAAATGGTGCAACCACTATGGAAGGCAGTATGGCACTTTCTCAAAAAGTTTAAAACAGAAATATCATTTGACCCAGCAATTCAACTACTGGGAATATACCCTAAAGAAACAAGAACTGCCAATCCAATCAGATATATGCACATCCATGTTTATTGCTGCTTTTGTTCACAATAGCAAAGAGTTGAAAACAGCAAAAGTGCCCATCAACAAATGGATAGAGATGCTGTGGTATATTCACACAGTGAAATACTATCCAGGACTGAAAAACAAGGAACTCATGAAATATTAAACAAAATGGGTGATCATGGAGGATATTATGCTGAGTGAAATATCTCAGTAGTCACAAAATAACAAATACTGCATAATGCCATTGTTATAAAACAGGACTGACATGGGGGTTGGGGGAAAACTAATAAAAGAGGGGATAAATAATGTACACGACATTGAAACAGACAAGGGAGAGAACTATATAAAAGGAATATATGATTAGGTATTATTGACATGATAAGAGTCCAGAAGAGCTGCATAGTAAAGTGGACTGGGACACACACACACACACACACACACACACACACACACTCTCTATAACAAGGAAAGAATTTTTTTTCTTCCAAAGAGAAAAGCTAACTGGGAGGGAGTGTGGGCAGGGAGGAAATGTGCAACAATGAATGAGTGGAAATCCAAGTTTCCTAGAAACTTCCATTAAAATCTCAACACAGAGAAAAAAAAACAACCCACCACTTTTGTCCTATTCGTACCATCCTCCCAATCTGTGCCATACTCAAGTCCATTGTTTAAATAATATTGTCAACCTATCTAATCTCCAATAGGGGACTTTAAAATACCACTTTTAATGAAGGACAGAATAACTACAAAGAAATTCAACAAATAAAAAAGAAACAATATAATTAACCAACCTGATATATATACAGAGAAGAGTCTACCTAACAAGAGAGAACATTCTCCAAAATGTGTTTGTCACAAAGTGAGCCTCAATACATTTGAAAGCACTGAAATGTTACAAATGCATTTTCCCAGATCACAATGCTATGTAATTAGAAATCAAGAGCAGGAAAACCAAGGAAACAGAAGCAAGTACACATATAATCAGTCAACTTTTCATAATTTTTGTTAGTTTTTTACAACTGTTTATGATTTCAATGGCTGGAGGAGCTGTCAGAGAGGACCTGGCTTTACTCCTGATCCTAAGCTCTTCTTTTCCCACACCATCCTCACACACATTTCATCACCAGGCCTCACAGTAATTAGGTCAATGACTCTAATTTAGACTGAGCTGTCAGGGTTTTTGAAGAAAGGTCAACTGTTTTACTTGGTGACTAAGGTTAAAATGGAGAGACAAGGAAAAAGGATTTGAGGGCCAGTGCAGTGCCCAGGAATACCTTGAAGACTTTGATCTGGCAGCTGGCTGAGTGTAAGTGCTCAGTGTATTCCCCGTTCTCATTCTCCTTGAAGGTATCAATCTGTACTCTGAATGGCACTCCCTTTTCTCCACCATGTTTCCTCATGGTGAACTCTGTGCTAATACAATGCACCTGGAAAGAACACATCAAGACTTCAGCAATGCCAGCTGGTCATGGTCAACAACATTTTTAAATTATTGGAAATCACTAAGCACAAAACCTTTAACAGATATTATGAACAGCTCCAACAAACAGTTCTCGGCCTCCCCTCCATTATTTCCTTTCAAGGAGGGATGTTTGTCCTTTAGGGATATAACTTTCTAATAAATCTATCTTTACTATTTTACCCTCAAATAAACCAAAACCAAACATCTCTCTCATCTTTTTTCCTCCTCTGACCTCTTCTTTACTGTCTATTGTCTTTCCCTTCACTCAAGCTAATAATATGTGTCCAACCCTCTGGTTTGTGCCTCCAACATTTAATCTCTGTGTTGGGACTTTTTTTTTTAATTGGTTTGCATTCATATACATCATGTTTCTTATGTTTACTTAGTGTTTTATACAATCATTCATGTTGTGTTTTATTCATGTACCTTGTATTTTTGGGACAAGGATAGGCAATTTCCTCCTGTTCAACTTACTACCTCCAAAAATCCACAGGAAGGGTCAGCTATGGGTCAGTTCCGAATTGGTGGTATACCACAACCACCACCTTGTGTTTCATACACTCATTCATGCCTTATATTTTATATACTTAATTTCCACTGCTTTGTGCCAATTATCTCCCTGTATTTTCAAGTCCGCATTGAGTATTTCCCAATGCTTCCCCGCCTCCACCTTTATTCTCTTGAAGAACTTGTAGTGTGATGAAGGAAATAACAAAAATGTAAATCAAATGCAAACAAATTAAATGCACAGATGCAATGTTAACAAAAGCTACTGTGTGCTGTGGGGAACTAAACAGTATGAACTACTTTGGAGAACAAAAAGTCAACCCAAAAGGGAAATTATTTTTGTCAGTAAAGGTTTCTTGGAGTTTCAGATAGGTACTAGAAAGAAGATGCACCATCTGTACAGGCAATAGGAGGGAAAGTGTCACTCGGCTACTGCATAAAACCCAAGCCTGGTGAATCTTAACCCTTTAATGACTAAATTCTATTTTCTGGTTTGAACTTTTTTATTGATACCATCTATTATTAGTAATAGAAAGCATGCTGAAATGTGAAAGGTGAAAAAAATGAGATAATATGAATTTTGACAGAATTATATAGGACATAAACATAAAAATACATCTTGGGATATTCAATAAGGATAATAAGAATATTCAATTATAAACAAAGATATTCAAGTAACCTACTCAAAGGACATGATGAGGTATGCAAATGTAAATTTAAGTATAAAAAAACTCTAAATAATTTTACTGATAATAAAAATGAATTAGGAAAAACTAAATGCTAAGTAGTTATGAGGTAAGCTATGGTATAAAAGATGAAATATGATACAGTCATTGTCAAGTGGTTTTTTAGAGGTATGAATAAATAAAGTATGCTAACAAGAAAATTAATCCAGAATTCCTCACTGCTCCCAGGCACCTATTGAAGCTTGACAGTCAGGCCGATGCCCTGTAAAAATTTCATGTTCAGCATGATTTATCCTTTAGGAAACAAGTTGGTAGTAAGAGAGGTGTTTTATAACTGGAACCACGCTTATGACACTTTACCTGAATAAACACTGATGTCCTCTTTGCAGGGTCCCATAGGAACTCCACTGTATTTAATTGGGTTGGGTTAGCTCTAGGATCAATTATACCCACAGACATTGGGATATCTGAGAAACAAAACAGTAATCATTCAACAATGCTGAGGGATACTGGGATTTTAAGAAAGCACTGATTCTTATATTTCTGGTCCCAAGTTAGTGAGATTCTTTTGTATCAAACTCTAAAGCTTTTTTTTTTTTTGCCACTGAAAAGTTTGATTAGAGCTAAAATGGACTTAGGAAATTTCCTTTTTTCTACTCAATTTTTAAAAAAATACTTTTCAATAAAGCAGTTTTCTTTTAATCTGCCAAGATTCTGCTTAAAGGTTGACTATCTACAGAATAGCTCTACTGACATGAAGCTATCATTAATATGTGTCACTTACAGTTACACAACTGGTGCTGTTTGCTAGCAGCACATTAAAAGCATTAATGTAGAAAAGGGAAGGGTGAAAATAAAAACAGAAAGCCTTGTACCAAGGACAGAAGTGGGCAAAATTTATCACAAAGATGGACACTGATTTATTAAGTCACCAAATAATCCTGTAACAAGAGTGGCACATCTTCTACTCAAAGAGAAACAAAAACTAATGAACTTTAGCAGAACTGTGCTTTCCAATGCACATGGCAGATACTTCAGTGTCATTCCTTAACTTCTAATAATATTCATATTGGAGAAATAAGGCCTAGCTGATATCATTTATTATTATACTATGCTATAATTATACTACTGTTGGTTATCAATGATTTAAAAAGAATGTGTTATGTAGGGTCTCACTCTACACTATTAGCTGTGCTGGATTCATCCTAAGACTAATTTACTAAATGCATTATCAGGATGGCTACTCTGCAAACCAAGGAGCCCTTGTGGCACAGTGGTTTAGCACTTGGCTGCTAACCAAAAGATTGATGGTTCGAGCCCAATAAGTGCTCTGTGGGAGAAGGAAGAAGCAGCCTACCCTGTGATTTAAGATAAATAAATTCTACTCTATATAACATCATGCTCCAAAGGGTGGATGGACAGCGCAGGAGAGGGAGACCTCGGATAAGATGGATTGATACAGTGACTGGGGTGATGGGGGTTGGTGTGTCAGAATGAGACCAGCTCAGGACAGGGTTCAGAGCTGCTGTACACAGGGTCGCTATACATGGCAAGCCATTCAGTGGCATATAAAAACAATAACATTCTATGACAGGTTTGGAAGCAGGAGTGGCATCCACTTCCTAAATAACATGCCTCTGGAAACATTATGAACTTTGATAAATGTCGAAAGTTGTAGAGGGGCTTTCAGGCCTTTTGTTCATAGGGTCTCTTGTGAGTAATGCTCGACTCGAAGGCAATCAACAACATATAGTAGGAAAAGATCTGAACTGTAAACCAAATAGATGAAGATTCTCATCAAAGATCATTTTAGCAAGACACATCACTAATCTAGCCTACAAACTTTAGTAAAATAATGAACTGTAACATATTGGGAGAAAATCTATTCTTTTGTACATACAACTCAAAACAGAATATTACCCTAAAGAAATAGTTACAACTGCAACGGAAATGTAGTATTTACAACTTAAACTTTCACTTGGAAACCAAAATTGTCAAGTAAAGAAAACCAATTCTAAGTCTATAGTTAGACTGAGTATTTCCCGGGCAACAGAGTCTCTCAACTCACCTATGTCAAGAATTCTGTCTCCAGGTCGGTTCCATCTCCAGCCCTCGAGCTGCTGATGTTCAGTGTATTGGAGCCGTCTGTCATGGAACACTACACGGAATATACTCTAAAAAGCAACAAAGCCAACACATTTAAGTCTTCACTTAGGGGACACTGAGTCACCATTAATGGTAGTGGAATAATTTGAAAATAATAGTGGCAATGGTTACATAAACTCAATGTCACTGAGTTACACATTTTAAAAACTGCTAAATTGGTAAATATTTTGTTAACATATATTTCTATCATAATTAAATGTTTAATGAATATAAACTGCATTTGGAAGAAAAGTCATCACAGAAAAAAAGCAGGCCATTTTCCAAATAATTTTGAAAGACTGGTTACTTTTCTGTGGAACTTCTCAGTGATTTAAATACACTGTATTGTACTATCTAAGGAGTCTACTGTATGCACTATATCCTTTATCTACTCAGATATGGAGCCCTCTATCACTTTTATTTTTGGTAAAAAAACAGTAATCACTAAAACGCAAGAGAAACTTTGTTCTAATACAGCTTCATTTTCTTTTAAGTCACAATTTCCTTTCTAATGACTTCTCTGTCAGCTCTAAGGTGTATCTGATAAGGGAGTGTGCTGCTAATTCAAAGGTCTGAATTCACCAGCGGCTCCACAATAGAATGACGGGCAATCTCCTCCCTGAGATTTATAGTTTCCTGAAAACTTGCTAGAGGGTCAGATATGAGTTGGTTCTGACTTGGAACTTACCTCTCAGAACTTAATTTTTGTACACTGTAATAAGAGACATTGCATGAGCATGCATGTGTATGCAGCACACACACAGACAACACACAAGACGCAGCAGCAGAAAAGCCAATTGTAACAGGATCCCTTGAAAACCAGCACAGACAGAGGAAAACTAGCAAGAATCACCTTTTTTGGCTTCTAGGCACAATCTCAAATAATTTTTCTTTCTATTGTATTTTATAATATAATCTGGTGACTTTTTTTATTTGAAAGAACACTTACAATTCATATTGGATTTCATTCAAACATTCCTACATACTTGGTTTTGTAACATTAATTATACTTAATTAATGTCATTAATTAATTAGTGTCTGATCAACTCCTTATTGTATATTAGCTTTCCCTTCACTCAACTTGTCTATTTACTATTATTCCCCTCTCCATTCCCATCCCTGGTATATATACAAGAATGATTCTGTGTATAAACTTTTCCTTAGTCTTTTATAATAGTGGTCTTCTACTGTAATTGTCCTTTTGTGACTGATTCAAGTTTCCCAGCATAATGTGTTCTAGAATGATCCGCACACTGTGCACTGTTTTCATAAATTCCTTGTTGGATTTTGGAGATAGATAATATTCAATTGTGTGAATATACCATAGTTTCTTCAGCCATTCATCCACTGAAGGACACCTGGGTTGTTTCTATCTCTGGGTTGTTTGCTATTATAAATAATGCTGTAATAAATATACAGATGTGTGGGTTAGTTTGTGTTGCAGTTCTTATGTCTTTAGGATACACACCTAACAGTGGCATTGCTCGATTGAATGATATTTTTACTTCCAACTTTCCAAGAAGCACCAGATTTTTCTTTTGGGTATACCATTTTACTGGTCCTCCAGCGGTGTGTGAGAGTTATTCATCTCTCCACACCCGTGTCAGCATTTGTTGTTTGCTATTTTTTTGCTATTGTTGATGGGGCAAGATGCTATCTCATTACTATTTGGATTTGCTATTTGGATATTTATAATAGCTAATTTGATGATTGCACATTTATAATAGCTAATAATCTTGAGAAGAAGACTCCTACTAAAAGCATTTCTACATGCTTCTATTATTATCTTGGAATATTTGACTCAGCTCTTTAGATGCATTAAAAAAAAATCACTCAGAGTCCTCCTTGTTAACCCATCATACAACCTGTAAACAGAGCAGGTAGGACTTGTTGCCATCAACTTTCCTTTTGTTACTCTTACTTTATGGATGTATCTATTAATCCCTCCTGCCACCTTTTCATAGATGCTAAAAAGTTTCTTCTGTCACAATTGTGCTATGAGTGTTCAAGGTCGTTATTATCAGTGTACACTAAACTGCTATTCATCAACAGTAGTTTCTGCTTTCTAAGCTACAAGCTTCCCTAAAACAACTTTACAGAGCCAGGAGACTACCCTGGATAAAGAATGATAATCTTCTGTTTGAGCAACTCTTTAAAAAAAAAAAAGTAAAAAAAAAGTCCATGTAAATAGATGGGTTTGCTCTGACCCTCCCTTGAGGAATTAACACTAACACGTCCATTTACTTTTTTTTGCCAGCCAACTGTGGTAAGTAGGAGATTGTAATAAATGCATCTCTGGAAGCAAAAGACATTATCCAAAATATCTCAAAGGGGTCAATAAAGGATATTGTGCTGCTGTTGTTGAGTACGTCAAGCCAGAATGAACTCATAGCTGACCCTCTAGCAGATTTTCCAAGGCGGTAAAGTGCAAGGGAGTTTGACTGCCCATCAGCAGTGCAGCTGAAAGATTAGAACCATGTGCCTTTAGGTTGACAGCACAGCTCTTTATCACCAGGCCACCAGAGCTCCCTTGGAAATTGTATTGAGAACTGGTTTATTAATGTTCTTTTACCTTCACCAACTTGCCATTAATTTCTGGAAGTTCTCCAAGCTTCCTATTGTCTAGCATTCGAATTTCATAAGACTGTCCTAGAAAGAAAGGTAATAATTACATGTTATAGCCGTCACAAGTTAACTTTAACTTTGTAAGATTTAGAAAGAATAACATTACATGACCTAAGGTATCTCAGTTTTACAGGTAAGTGTAAGAGCTTAAGCAACTTGTCCCTTGCCACACAACTGGTAAATAACAGAGTTATTTTTTAGACAGTAACTCATGAGGCCATTCAGGGAATATTGGTAATAAATACAGAGATATGAACTAAAAATGGGCAGGTGGACAAAAGAAGTCTGTACTACATAATAAATGTCAACATTAAAACTCAAATCTCTAAAGTAAAACTTTCTAGACCACATAAGTATACTTAATAAAATAAGAATCCAGTTGGTCTGCAGTAATATTAATGAATAGAGAAGCATCTAACCTTGATTGAGATATGTCAATGTTTCATCATGGAGCTTCACTGCTGGAGAGGTGGCCGCACAAAGTACATATTGAAAAGGAAGAATTTTATTTTCATTATCTGGAGGCAAACTTGACTCTTCTTGTTTGAAAATGGGTAATGCAAGGACGTCACTGAAATAAAAGAAATGTCTGGCATTTACATCTGATATTGGTGCACGAGTAGATGTATTATTCAAACAACTTAACTGTAACTTGCTTTGAAAAACCATAAACATAATTTTTTTTGGTGGAATATCATTGCCGTTTAGATCACCTACTAAGAGAGTCACACGGGTCACACCAATATGAGTGATAATTGGCAGGTTCACTGTGAAGACCACCATAGATAGTTTGTTTTAAAAAATCACAGACAGGGGTTCTTTCTGGCATGAAACTGGGATCTCATGAAGAAATGCTCCTATCTATAGGTCCTCTGAGATATAAATTAACCTCTTGAGATGATGCAAACCTATGAATGGTTTCTACTAGATCACAACAATTATTAAACCTTCTACTTTCAGGCCTACCAGCTAATGTGATGCCTTTTTCTAGAAAGAGAGTTGAAAAGAGAGAAAGGGAGGCCTCATGAATTCTACTTTGAATAGGGTGCCCCTGGCACCAAAGAGTGGCAGAAACTAAGAGCTGCTGTAGAGGTGAGAAACGCAATGATTTCAGCTGATGATAACCATGTGTGTATCACAGAACTGTGCTCCACAGGGATTCCAGTGGCCACTCTTTTGGTAACATACCACTACCTCTTTCTCCCAGTGCACCCCCTTGATGGACTATAACTGCCAACATTTTGCTTATCAACTGGCACTTAAACATTTGCATTATTAATGATGTAAAAAAAATAATCCAACTGTAGCCTAAAATTGTATTGTTGTTATGTGCTGTCGAGTTGACTACTGCTCATGGTGACCCTATGAACAAAAGATTGAAACCCTGCCCTATCGTGCATCGTCTTCACAATCTCAGATGTTCCAGCCCATTGTTGCAGATACTACATCAATGCATTTTGTTGAAGGTCTTATTCTTTTTCCTCTGACCCTCCTGCAAAAACTGCATGAGACTTCATGACTCAGCTGAGAAAAACAATACTAGTCTCCAAAGATGGTCTCTAATGACCAGCATCTTCAATATTATACTTTTTCTTTTCCATTTTTCAAATCAAATCTGGGCTGACCCTATCATTTGTCTCAACCAAGAAGACGTGAAGGGGTAGCCATGTACCAGTTCTGAGGTAGGGTCCAATCTTTAAGAAGGATTGACAGCTTCCATTTAAACATTTCAGAGAACAACCAGGTAAGATGTCTGACTATCTTGCTAGAGAGACAACCTGGAGGAGCTCAGCAGACAGAGACCCCCAACCCAGTGTTCCAGCAGAACACATAAGGAGCATTACGAGTGAGATACCTAGGACATTCCAGTCCAAGCCCCCCAGCGACTGCAGCATTAGCTTGTCTTAAGAAGCCAAAATGCACAGTTAATTCTCAGATTTATGAGTAGCAATTATTGTTTTCAGTCACTTTTTGGAGCACTCTGTTAAATTTCAACAGTCCCCTTTTCAAAACTTTCTAAAACCTTTGCTGTACAACAAAATAATGTTGTTATTACTGTTATGTACCCTAGAGTCAGAACCGACTCAGTGTTGACCCTACAGCAGGTTTTCAGAGGCAGTAAAAATCACATGGGAGGAAACTGCTCATCTATCTCCCTCGAAGGAGCTGGTAGATTCAAACCAGTGGCTTTTGGTTGGCAGTGGTGCAACTCCTTACCACTAAGCCATCACAGTTCCAATAAAACAACAAGCAATGACGAATGATGAATATTTAAATAAAGATAATAAACCACCCTGACTTAGAATTAATCATTCTTCTGTTGAGTGGCTGACGGGCTCTTACAGCTGACCTTTTAGTTTGAGTATTTTAGCCACTGCACTACCAAAGCCTCTTACTTAGAACAGTTATGCTTTAAAAAACCAAAATAAACAACAACAAAAATCAGGCAAAACAAAAAAGGTGCATTCACATAGTATGGCATTTAAGGAAAAACAATCAATAAAGTACACAAACACCTAAGAATACAGCATAACTTGGCTTTACCATTATGAGTTAATTCTGTAAAACTTTAAGGCAAATCATTAATAAAATACACATATGACACATATGTTTATTCTTTAGGTAAATAAGCCGTAGTAAGAATTTGAACAGTAAGATCAGATCCAAAGAATAATCAACCAAAAGCAATAAGCAACTGCAATGACAACCTAAAAATGATACTTAAAAATGCACAAGAAATGCATTGCAAAGTGGACTGGGGAGAAAAAGGGAAGAAATTGTGCAACAATGAATTAATTTAAAAAATAGAACATTAAAAAATACATGCAAGAAAATAAATGTGCACGATAATCATCCTGGCCTCATCATGGCCTCCAACTCTTCAACTACACACTTTTAGTTCTATGACTTTTAAGCTTCTTTTAATCATGGTTTCAAATCAGTTCATTCTGCTTTGATTCCCTGTTGAGAATTTAAATTTTCACAGCAGATATACAGAATCAGAACTCTCTATGTTAGGAAGACACCTATGTGATTCTAAGATCTGTTAAAAATGCAGATTTTGATTCCGTATATCTGGGGTGGAAAAGTAAATTCTCAAGATGAGGTAAAACAAAAATGACACAGCTAGCGCTATGCTTCGAATATCAACCACATTTTAAAATCCATTCTACATTATGACTCAATGTGTATGTGTGTGTGTTTGTGTATCTCTGTGTCTGTGTGTCTGTGTGTGTGTTTGTGTGTGTGTTTATGTCTACAGAATTGAAGCAACCTTTACAAAGCAACACTTATTCTTACTACATGTATCTTGGTATTTCTTCTTTTTTAAAAATCCTGACCACAATTTCCAACTTCACAAAAACCAACTGCCTTCTTAATACTTTGTACTAAAATAAAGCTTATTTACAATCCCTTGGTCATTATTGAAAAACAAAATCTAATCCAATAAAAGGCAATTATTCCAGATCAGACTATAATTTAGCTATTAAGAATAGGGATATGATCTACTTTAAGAAATAACTAAACAAATATAGACACTGACATAAATAATCTACAAAGATGGTACTTTGAATATCACCTCTCTAGTCTTTGGGATTCTTACCACATATCAACACATGCTCACTCTTCTTTATTGGGTTCACTTTGGTTCATGCATTTTTAAACTGTCCTTTACAAAGAAAGAAAGAATTCTACTAATTCAGAGCCTGCTTTTTTACAAAAATATTTGTACATTTATTTATAATGAAATTATGGTTTAAATATTTATAACATATAGGAAACTTGGGACACATTTATACAAAGCCAGTCTGTAAAGTATTCAAATGTGCAAAAATGACAAGAACCTACCTTTTTTTAAATGAGAAACTATCTAGAAATAAAACTGTTTTCAAGTCATCTTCTGCTGTATGTACTACATTCAAAGTCAAGCCTGTAAGGAAGTCACCTGTATCAGTGGCTGGTTATACCTTTGAGTCACTGGAGAGAAGCGTTAAAACAGGCCAAATCTTTGCCTATTAAATCAGAAAGGTGGCAGGGATGAATTTGCTGGCCTAATTAGTTGTTGTTGTTGTTATGCCATCGAGTCACTTGTGACTCAAAGCGACCCTAATACAAGAGCCCTAAATGCCGTTCTATCTAGTGCCAACCTAGCCATCTCAAATTCCCACCACTCCCAGTCACAGAATCGATCCATCTCATCGAAGGTCTTCCTCTCCTGTGCTGCCCAAATTTGGAGTTGCATAATTATTTAGTACTATGTTTTAGTAAGCCAAGGTTACAAGCTTGAGCTCTCTCTCTCTCTGTCATACAGTATGACCAAAACCAAGAGCTCTCCACTGAGACATCTCAAAACATTACCACAAAAGGTGAGAGAACTTGCTTAAATCTGTGCCTCAATCACAAATACAGGGGTAAACATTCCACAGCATGACACGAGTTAGTTCTGATTCACAAATACCCTGTGTACAAAAGAATGATCCTGTATCGTTCTTACAATCTTCGCTGAGCCTATGCCTCTTGTTGCAGTCACTCTGCCAATTTATCTCTTCAAAAGTCTTCCTTTTTCACTGACTCTTTAATAAACATAGTGTCTTTAAGGACTGCTCCCTCCGATATGAACAAAGTATGTGATGCAAAATCTCACATCTTCACTTCTAAGGATAATTTAGTCACACTTCTTATGAGACAGATTTGTTTGTTCTTTGGCCATCCATGGTCTATTCAACACTTTGCCAACATCACAACTCAAAGGCATCAATTCTTATTCAATTTGTTCACTGTCTAACTTTCACAAGTATATGAGGTGACTGACAGTATCAAGGCTTGGGTTAGGCCCACTTTAGTCCTCAAAGGGAATCTCTGCTCTTGAGCACTTTACCGAGCTCTCCAACAGCACATCTGCCCAATGCAACGTCTTTGGCTTTGTTTGTGACTTCCATGAGTGTTAATTATGGACCCAAGTAGAATAAAATCCTTGACACATAAATCTTTTCTATATTTGTTATGATGTTGTTTATTAGTCCAGTAGTAAGGAATTTTGCTTGCTTTATATTGAGGTAGAATCAGTACTGAAGGCTGCAGTCTTCAAGTTTCATCAGTAAGTGCTTCAAGTCTTCATTGTGGTGCCACCTGTATATCATAGGCTGTGAATGAGTCTTCCTCCAATCTTGATACTCTCTTGTTATTCATATGCAAGATGTTATATTCATATGATAATTTTTACACTTTCTATATTCTGTTGGATCGCTTTTCTTTGAAACACAAATACTGTTCCAATTGGTTGACTAGGTAGCTGTCTTCCAAATTTCTTGGCATAGACAATTAAGTATGTTCAGTGCTGCATCAATCTGTTGGATTATCAACTGGAATCTAATAAAGCCACTGAAAAACTTTTTTCTTAATTATTAATCAAACTATTTAGCACCTTTAGGTACTAAGTGGACAAGATTGCTATCAGTTGTAGTTTACTTAATGACATCTAACAAGGACTGTTTTCTAGATTTAAAAATTGGGCTTAATGATCTTTAAGCACTTTAAAGACAGCTTCTGGGATATGCTGCTGTTGTATGC